CCAACATCCACCGTTCACCATCTCCACCACCATCCTTTTCTGAGCACCACCATAACTCTTCTCATCACCACTATCATTACAATCACCCATACTCACCAACACACGAATCCAACAAAGCTAACTAAAACAATGAACAAACCCATATCTACACTCACCAAACAAGCCCGATTTTAGAATTGAGGTCGACGCCCTTTGATTTCAAAGGCAAATAGTCCACAGTTGATGCCTTTCCTGAAGAGATTCATCAATCTCTCAATCAAATCAGCGACAACATCCGGAATTTTGATGAACTCGAATCAATCTCGCCCAACAAACTACCAAAATTGAGCCCATATAACATCGACAAGCATGGTCGAGGAGGCGAAAGTCGATGTAAAGAATATAACCAACGCGACAACGATGACGTTCGCACCAACCACGGTGGCCATCATAATCCTCATCTCCTCCACTACTACCAGAAGTATCTCCATTGTTGCCTGCGTCTGAAGCCGTGCAGCACTGAAATATGCTTAGCGACGATGGTGCCCGACGAGGAGAAGAAGCTCAAACTCATGACAGCGGCGATGGCACTCACCTCTGTTCAGCGCTAGTTTTCCCTCCATTCATGTGTTCAGCGTCATTTGTCAGAGAGTGGTGCATCATTCCAAAGTGAGAGCCCTCGCCGGCGGCCCCGAGCTTCACCCGCCCTCCCCATCTTCTCCGGCGCCATTGTCGGCATCATCTTGAGCCCCAATTTGAAGAAACTTCAATCACACTAGGATTTTTATGTATAAATCACCCTAATTCGACCAAGGATGTGTTTTTACACATATATCCCAATTTAATGGGTCACATGGGCGATCAGGTACCTTTTTTCGATAGCTTTTAGACGGATTTTGACGGAAATGACCATATTGTACTTATTTTAAAAGGTTGGGGATGTATTTGTCAAAAAAAAATATTAGAAACTAAACTGTCACTTACTAAAAAAATTGAGACCATTTATGTCAATAACCTATTTAAATTTTATGTTATCTTTTCTAAAAGGATCAAATATGTAATTGTTTTGTTGTTCGACAACTTCCTGCAAGTGGTGTAGAACGCTATTCAGCTTCATGGAAATGATGGGTAAGTACATATGAAAGTAAGTTATGATGATGGGTCTTTTGTTTCATTAAGCATGATCAATATGCATTGAAATACCATTGAAATACGAGCTGGCAACCACAAAAGGGTTAATCTTCATCTTAGCACTAACGGATAGTTTTTTCAAATTGTCACAGCTGAATTCTTCTACTAATTATATTACTTACTAACATAGTACATTTTTATGTTTCTTATTGTAATCTGATAATGTGACAATGACATAAAAAAAATAATCAAAAGAAGTGTTATTTTCACAATATTTTTTTTATTAGTATGATAAAAAAAAAAAAAGAGTATTTACGTTTGAGTTTTACAGTTCAATTCACAATCCAATCCGCAACATCTAAATTAAGAAAATCTGAATTCGTTAACAATCCAAAAGAAGTCCTTCAGCTCATTCCAAAACGTTAAATTTCGTTGATTCGCGGATTGAACCAATGATTTGAGCCTTTAAATTTAAGTCCCGTGTAGGCTCATCTTTACATTGCTCATAAATGAATTATAGAATTAGTAATTAACCATCTAAATAGCTCAGTTAGTGTTTGGTGGGCGTGTGAATCGTTTTAATATATTGGGACGTTCTTTAATTACAAAATTAGTAATTGAAATAAACATTTCACAACATAAAAAAGCTCAATAAAATCCAATTTATTACAGCATAATTGACTTCGAGTCTTCGACAATAAATGAAAATGTTGGATTTCACTGGCTGGGAAATAAAAAAACTCTTTACAAGCGAAGAAAATAATCAAAAGATACAATTAATCCCCCAGCAAGAAGGTAAGTGAAAAAAAAAAAAAAGAAGAAGTAAATTATAGAGAAACGAAATTAAATTTGAAAGAATTTGGGTGCAGGTGGATGGGACCTAAAAAGAAATTATAAATTCGTTTATTTCACCGATTTAAATTTAGAATTTAAATTTTATTATACTAAAAAGTTCTTAAAAATTTAAATTAATAAACTAAATCGTCGATAGATTAACGAAATGAAACATTGATTTAGGTTAGCCTTGCAAAGTACATCCAAAGACAAAAAATGAAGTCGTTTTCAAACATTAAAGTGGGAAATAAATACGAGGACCCGTCAACATCTTGACAACTCAAAATGGGGATTAAAATACAATACATTGATTAAAATAGAATTGGAGAGAGAGAGAGAGAGAGAGTGGAAAAACAAATAATTGAAGTTTATCAAATTTCTTCATGACGTCCCCTTCTAGAGGACCCAGTGGGCCAGCCCACTAAAAATAAAGTGGCTCCAACCTCCAAGGTCATTTTCACCGAGTGAACTCTAGTTTGGCCCAACTCGGGTCACGTGGCTATAAAGAACTCCACAAATGGTTTTTTTACACGTGTATGTACTGCACGTGACCTAGGTCCCACACTGCCTTGTCTTTTGGTGGTTACCTCAACCTGGGCTCCCAGTTTTTTTGTCACTTTTATGAGGGAAAATCATTCTTTGGACCATTGATTTCTAAGAACCTAAAAGGACGCAAATACCCCCAACCAAGCATATCATGAAATGGTCTTTGCAAAGAAAAGAAAATCAGAAGGAATAAAAAACGGAATCAGAGTATATTAGATTTAGATTATGAGCGATCTTGTTGTTTTACTTTTTTTTTTTTTTTCCTTTATACATATATTAAATTCTTTAAAACCAACTAAGGAGAAATAAAATATTAATTTATTACCATAGAAATTAGAAATGATATTTTTAGTGGTTGAATTGATAGTAGTAGGTTGAAGAAATCAACATAATCATCTTTGCCTATAGAATTTAAGATAAGCTAATGCTCTAACGAAAATACGTGATATCACATGGTATTATTCATGCTTTATTCCAAGATGCTCCACTGAAGAAAAAAAAAAGAAGCTAAAAGGCAATCTAAATGATGATAGAAGAAATGACATTTACATTTTTGAGCAAAATCGAAATTACAATATGAGATTGGAGCAAGTGAAGGATGATTTTATAGCCGCGATATGTTAAAAAAAAAAATGGACAATAAAAATCTGGCAAAATGGACCTAGTAAAGTTTGAGTATTCTGTAGTAGCATATTGTTAGAAATACACAAGATAGAACTCACCTCTAAATATATGGGGAGGAGCGGGTTGGTAAGTTATTCACTAATCATTTTGTTATTAGTTCACATGATACTTTTTGGTTTGTAACATTTCATCAAGCTCCGTAATTATCGTACATGATGACCCATCTTGATTGGTAACTAAGATCCCGTTTATTTCACTTATTCGAGTTTAAAATTTGAATTACCCACAGTAAAAAGTTCTTATAAACAGTCACATTTAACTTTTTTACTACTGTAAAAAAGATCTCATATAAAGTCACATCTCAACTCGAATTATAAAGTCGCATCTCAACTCGAATCAGCGAACTAAACGGGTCCTAAGTGACTTTGCGAATGATCTCGCCATTCAATCAGCATCAACAAGCATAGAACAGTAGGCCATGCTACGTCTGATCTCAAACTCAATACGTTGGTTCACAATCCACCACGCTTGGCAGAGGTAGTTCACATTATTGAAACCAGCCCAGAAATAGTGCTATACCCATAACTAATAAAAAAAAAAAAAAAAAAAAAAAAAAAAAAAAAAAAAAAAAAAAAATACAGGCTCATTCGGGGGAGTTTTGACCTCCATTTATACGTTCATTGAGGGAATTTAAACCTCTTAAGATACCAAAATGTCAAATATATTCACCCAGACTCGTTTTAGATTTTATTCAACTACTTAAATAGAGAAATTACGGCAACAAAAATAAGGGAATATTATCCTGTTATTTATCCATAAACAACATGACATGTTCAATAAAAGATAATGCCTAAAAATAAGGGGATAAATCCCCATGACTCCTACAACTAACTATTAACTATTACGAATGAATAAAACCTACAAGATAAATCCATAACTTATTTTAAATAAAATATAATGTTGTAATGGATAACCCTTTATTTCTTCACGGTTTCAGTCAATTATCAATATTCGATGCAAAAGTACGTAGCTTATAACATAACCACTTTCACTAGAACATGCAATGTGTTATTTGGCTTGATATAAAGCCACTAATTATTTTATCGTACATTTTAGTTCCCAACATATAAATAAATAAATAAATAAATAAATAAAAACCTTCAAAACTAGTATTTCATATGAGAAAATTAGCTGCTGCTGCTACTTTTTTCCTTTCTTTCTTGTTTTCCCCCCCTTGTGTAGACGGGAAACAAAACTGGCATTTCAAGTTGTAATTATGTGCATAATTTTAAAAGCCATAAAATTATTTGCATGAATTTTTCGATTGTTGGAGAAGAATATGAAAAGGGTACTTTGGTCATTTCACTGAAAAAGAACCGTTTCCCGCACATAGGGTAGGCCTAGTCGATATCAAACCCAAAAACGTGGGCCTCCGGTTTCAATGGGCTTTCATAGCTCCTCTCACTCCTCAGTGGTTTAGCAATAATTGCAATACCACCTCCTTTGGATGATTGACACGTGCTAATGGTTAACGGTCCAAATTCCCAAAGGAATCTTTTATGTCCGCCGAACAAGACCTGTGGTGGGACAGATCCCGAGGCTGGGTCCCAATCATTGGAAATGGACATTTTTTTAAAGGTGACCTGTTGACAAGTGACATTTTTATAAAATCTTCTTGGAATCCGTTTTAATATAATTTATTTATATATATATATATATATTTTTTTAGAGAGAGATGTATTTTCAATTACTTTTAAAAAAATATATAAATCTTTTTAATTAAAAAGAAAAAAAAAAGGTAATGAAATGATTAATTGGTCTTCCTTTAGCAATCAACACCCATATAATTCCAAACCAAACCATGGGCTTAAAGTCCACCCACTCTCCCACTCCATCATAAATTGGAGTCTCCAAAAGATAAAAGCTTTGTGTGGAGAATTATATAACACACACATCATATTCCCCCACCTTCACTTCAATAGCAAAATTTTAAGGTAAATTTGAGCAAGAAGACCGGGCCAATGATCGGAAAACTTTCCGAATTGCTGGTTTCCGGCCACCGCGGAGGGTTTCTCGACGTCGGCACGAGCCCGAGAAGCCCATTAGACCTCAAGATGCAATCCCCTAGAGGTCTAAAGAACTATGATCTTGGTGGGGTTGGATTGGGAATAGTTGCGGCCTTGGACAAGTCCGGGGACTACAATAATAAAATTGGAGGAGATGTTCTAGCAAAGTATGCAATTTGCAGCTCTAATCGCAACCGGTCGAATCCGATCCCGGTGAATCCCGGTGGCGACAGATTTAGTGTTGCTGCCTCGAGGGGTTGTGATCAAGAGTTTGAGGAAGAAAGTTCCGAGAATTATACTTACGTGACATGTCGTGGACCAAACAATAAGTCCTTCACCAAGGTGTACTATGATGGAGGTGATTATAATGGAAAATCTAGAAAAAATAACCAAAGTAATAATTTTGGTATTTTTAATCTCCCAACAACAAGAAGGTCCCCAGAAGAATTTTCCGCTTTTCCCACCTCGGATTTTCTCAGTTCTTGCCATTTGTGCAGGAAAAAACTCCACGGCAAAGACATATACATGTACAGGTACAAATAATTTACACATTTTTCCCACAAAAAAAAAAAAAAAAAAAAAAAAAAAAAAAAAAAAAAAAAACTAGTACTACTTTAATTTTCTTGTTTTGGATTATGTGATTATTAGTAATGTTCTTTTCTTTTTTTTTTGGTTGGTTTTACAGAGGAGAAAAGGGATTTTGTAGCGCGGAATGTCGATCGAGCCAAATCATGATGGATGAACGTAAAGAACAACAGTGCAGATCAGAGGCATCAAGATCTGTGGATCATGTTGTTTCAAGCTCATCTTATTCGAGAGGCCAAATTTTCTCAAGTGGTATTGTTGCCATCTAGCAGTAGGAGATCAACAAAGGAAATTAATGACTACTATATAGTTCTTTTTATACGCGGATATACTTTTCTTATACGTTAATATGAGAGCGGATCAGCTTTAAGCTGCTAACCAACCCCCCCTCCCCCAAAAAAAAAAAAAGAGAAATTTTGCTGGAGTACAAAGATTGATCAAACTTATATGTTGTAATATGAGAATCAATAAACTTTTTTTTTTCTGTGATTGATAAAAAGAATCAAAAGTTGAATCTTTTTGTGAGTATGGTGCTTGGATGATTGATGAACAGAGCCAGAAAGAAGGTGAAGAGTCTATACATACATACATATATATATATATATATATCAATTATTTGTGCTTATACGTTGTGATTGGACTTCCCTTTGGAACAAATTCCTTAGTCTTGCTAGTTATAACAAGAGTTATTTAAAAGAAAAAGAAAGGAAATTAAGTGCAACCCTTTTAATGCACAAAAAGAAAGAGGATTTAGAAAGTACATGCACCAACTTTCCAACTTCAAGCGCAAGGAAGTTCAATTGGTTTTTTTTTTTCTCTTTCTTTCTGAAAGTGAAAGAGCTAGAGAACTCTGAAGTCAAAATATCCACAATGCACAGTGGAACCTGTTCTAACCAAAATGGGTCACCAACGAAATTAAAAGCATTTCGAGCCAGAGGATGGACCGTATTTCCAAACCTCGAAATATGGCTGCAAGAAACACCACGAAATAACATCATAAATAATTGAAACCAGCCGCGGTACATAAATTATTCAGCCCGTTTTACCAAAAAGATCACTTTCCAAGGGGAAAGAGAGCCCCAGAGCAAAACACTCTGCCACCAAGGAATCAAAATTACTTGGAAGTGTTTTCACAAAAGTACCTGTTGACGAAGTTTCATAGCATAATTTCAAATATACAACTAATTTTTAACCGGTAACCTCACGGGATACCAAAGGGTAGTCCGGTGCATTTCTGTTAATAAAGTTTCACCGTCAACAGTACCTAACACAAACCCCATATGATCTCGTATCAAAACCACCTGCTCCAATTGATGATGAATCCGCCAACAAAAGGCATCTAAGTTGTGCTTGATAGTCCCCGCAACCGGTGGATCCCAACGTATATCTTCAGGTCGAATACGTCTTATCGACACCCCCATTGCTTGTTGACGTTTCTGAAAATCTGTCAACCAGTAACTAGCAACCTCTGGAACCTCTAAACAAGTTTGACAAGTCCCTTCTCAGCCTATTTGAGTGTTGGTTTTCTGTACAGAAATTCTGTGATAGTCCGAATAATTTCATGTAATTTTAAAACAGTATTTCTTACTTTTCTGTTATAATAGTGCCTAATTAATAGCCAATAAATCAAATTGAACTTTTTATTCAAATTTCCTTCATAAGCAAACCTTTTTTTTTAAGGATTAATAATCAAAACCATACTTTTTCTTGATCTAATAACCAAAACCATTTTATTCAGTTGAATACTGTAAAAGGATTTCCCCACACAACAAAAGGGAAGAATTATTATGAGTTGGTTAATTCTACCAAAACCATTTTATTCAGTTAAAAACTGTAAAAGAGAAGAATTATTATGAGTTAGTTAATTCTATGCATGGATTCACCACGAGTAAAATTCCATTGGACTAAATCTTAAATCTATTACGTTTATCAATTACTTGACGTCACTAAACTTCCTTAGAAAACTATAGCAAACTTGCATCATTATCAAAATCCATAAATTTACCTAGATCTTTCAAACTTGAGCTCATGCCACCAATATTCCAAGTAATTGCAGGCTTAAATCAAGATCACACGAGTTACACGTTCTCTAAGTTCTCTATAAATTATCGCATATTGGTTACTGGACCACAATTGTAACAAATTTTCAATTCTCACACTCGTGCAAAGTATAGTAGATATTCAAAGAATTTCATTACCTTCTTTTCTAGGCATTCTATTCCCAAAAGGTGCCCTATGAATAGACAGCTTCTAAAACTAAATAATGTCCCGTTTAGTTCATAAATTTAAACAAAAATTCATAAACAGAAATAAAAATTTGAGTTGTTATCCAAATCTGTAAAATAAAGCATATTTAATTCGTTGATTTAAGTTTTTAATTCGAGTTGAGATATGACTTTATGTGAGAGATTTTTACCGTAAAAAGAAAATTAAATATAACTGTTTCTGAGAGCTTTTTACTATAACAAAACTCAAATTCTAAAGTCAAATCGATGAAATAAACGAGACCACAATCTTCTCACATGTTGGGTTCCAGACCTTGGCTTAGGTAATTATGTTACTATTGACCTCGCTCCCATGTAGCTGCAAAGCAGTTCGCAGCAAGATCTTTCTCATGAGAATTTATTCTGCCTAAAGAAAGGTGCCCGCTTTGTATGCACAAGCAAATTATGCCTGCATATAGATCTTCGAAAAGTACCGAAGAGGAGTTTAACAATCAACTAGCCATACGCAAGCAGACCAACTAGCGGTACAAAACGCGTGCCAAAGAATCCAGAAAAACATAAATTGCCCCCTCAAAAAAATAAAAAAAATAAAAATAAAAAAAAACGTAAAAGAAATCATGCTCGGCATTAATATCAATATTCAAATATTTTAAAAATTATTAAGCATAAAACTATCCATAGTATCCCATATTTATAATAAAAAAAAGGAGAGAAAAATAAAACCATAATATGGTATCACACGTGCAACGCACGCGCGCTCACACTAGTGTTATAGGAAGACAACCAATCTACCAACCAAAGCAGGGAAAGAAAAACTAAAAACAGGGAAAATACGTGTATCCTACAATTTAAGTTAAATAACTTATTCGCCAAACCTTAGTAAAACAAAGGTTTTTTCTTTCCCAACTTATAAAATTACTGGTAGTACATAAGCTGTTGTTGGGTGGTCGCAACACCCGGAAAGCCACCATCATATATAGCCTGACCAGCTCCGGCAGCCCCCATTCCCATAGCAGCCTTGAGCGCGTGCTGGCCTTGTGGATGCATCAGCGCTTGTGCACTGCCCATTTTTAATGCCATTTGTCGTTCATAGACTGCAAAATCAGCAGCTGACAAACCGGGCATGTTTGCAGCAGCTGGCGGGGGAAGAGGGGTGGAGCTTGTTCCCGGAGGAGTGGGCTTGCTACCCCACGAGCACTGCAAAAGTACAAATTTTCACAGTAAATACATAGTCGCTCATAAATTATAATCCCATCTGCCTTCTACTTGAAGAACCAGACCTTTCAAAAAGGTTCCCCTAACACTAGCCCCCGCCCTTAAATAGCCCCACTTTCATATTGAAGCAGCATCCCCAAAAAGGCCCTTACATCAAGATTCCATCATAAAGTGGATAGAAAAATGCTTGTGTACCTGTCGCTTTTAGTTAGGGGCGAATTAGTAAAACGTGGAATCCGAGGGAAGCTTAGAGAAAGGAATACACCATCAAGAGGTGAATTTATCCTGCTTGCTAATGCAGTTTTTACAGTGGTGTAGATGTTCAAAATTTGGTCATCACGTATCAGGTTTTAGATTAGAGGATTTCGCACCTAATTCAGCATTCAATTCCAAAATTTTCTAAAAGCCTTGATAGAGTGCCGGGCTATTTGTGGGACTCTGGAATAGGTCGGGGAGTGTAATATATAAAACCAGAGATCAAAGAGGAATTTGGGACGACAACTATTGATCGGGGACTATTTGTGACAATTAACACAAAATATTTAATCCCCCAATAGAACTTCTCAATCCAACCAAGAAGTCACCTCAAAATGAAGACACAAAATCTCCATCAAGAACATACCTTAATTTGTTTGCCATAAAGCATTCGAGCATTTCCCATCTGAATGGCCAGAGCTGCTTCAGCATGGTTACTAAATCTCACAAACCCAAAACCTTTATCACGTTGCACTCTAACATCTTCGATGGTTCCAGCACCAAGGGCATGGAAATGACGGTGGAGGTCAACTGAAGTAACCTAAAAATGGTCGCAACAAGAACTTAGAACAGCTAAAATTTAAAGCAGTCAACAGTACAAATTTCAGTCAAACAAATGCAGACTTTGACCCGTCGCCCGAATACAAAACCAACCAATAAAAAGTATATCTAGTACAATTTAAATTTAAAAACACAACTAGACAAAACCACCCCTCTTGTTAGCGTTTAACATAGGTTTCACATGGCCGTGAAAATGACTATACCTCCTTCCTTCAACAAAGACGCGCAATCACACCTTTGACCAGAAAAAAGAAAAAAAAGAAAAAAAAAAAAAGGAAAGAAACTGCAGGGAAGATAAAACTAAAAATGGCTATAAAAAACATCAATTCCCACCTCTGGAGCAAGATTTCCGACATAAACAGTGGTATATTGGGGATTGTTTTCTGGAGCATCCTCGTTAGTCTTCTCCTGACCATCTTCTGAGCATGGGGAATATATGAAGATTGTAAGCTCCAATGATTGAAAGGAAAGTGACCAGAATATCACAAAAGAATCCAATTCAAAGGGTAATTCTTCAAACATAGCATGATGACTATCATAAGTACAAATTCACGCACAAAAAAAACCAAGCAACAAGTAAAAAAAAAAAGGATACGCTTTATGCTAATGTAGAGTTCAGGTCCAACATCATATTTCAAACCAGCCTGATTTCTGAAGATAATTCAGCAGCAGGCATGCTTGACTAAGACCTTGAGGGGTAAAAACCTTTTACTTGCCTCATCGAACAATCACGGAAAACTCACCAGTATTCCGAACAAGAGAAGATGCGACTGGACTATCATAACAAGACTACAAACCGACAACAAAGATTTATAACCATGATAATATGATGTTTTAGAAGGCAATCTCACCAGATGTTCCGCTTGTTAGCTCTACAACGCTTTTAGAATCAGAGCTCTGCTTGTCATCATTGGAACTGACACCTTTTGTAGCCCAATTACATCGAATCTGTCTGCTCCCAAGCCACTTCCCTGTAATGTGAAAAAATAAATGATAAGTTCAAGCAATGAAGCAAAGAATGAATAAATATAAAATACATGACAAGACAATTCAACATAAATGACGGGCGGCAGTTCAAGATCTTAGCTGCCCAGTTAAAAGAGAGAATAGGTCTTGGAAGGAACTTTAATGGATCGAGGACGGAGATATGGTCGACAAACAAACAAACAAACAAACAAAAAGGAAATGGGAAGACGGTGATTTTTTTTTTTTTTTGAGCTGGTAATGATAGGCCTCAAGAAGTTAGTTAAGTTAGTTAACTGTGAGATGCTTTTTATTAGCTGGTTGTAGAGATATGAATCAGGGGAAAATTAGTTAGAAGGGAGGCAATTAGTCAATTGAGATGTGGGAGAAGGATAGGCTCTAAAAGTCCCATCAACTGTAACCATTCAATTTTAATTTCAATACAAGAATTCCTTTCCTTCAATTCTTATCTTCCATTTTCTACCTATGGTTCCTATCAATAGAATCCTAAATTGATGAAAGAGTGAGTTCTAAAAAATCCTAGCAAGGAAAAGATGTGGGACAGGAGGAGAAGCAGAGTCCAATGGTGGAAAAACCCCCCAAAAGAGCTACCAAAAAAAAATGTCCTATCTGAAAATATGAAATTATCGTACCATTCAAGTCATTTATTGCACTTTGAGCATCCTGCCAAAACAAAAAATAAAAGACGAAAAGGATGACACCAATCAGCAATTTAAACAAAGAATTTAAAAGGAGCAAAATAAATGTTTGATGTCGTTTAATTGTTTAACTACCTGCTGGTTACGGAAGGAAACAAAACCAAAACCCCTTGACCGCCCAGTTTTCTGATCCCACATAACCTTTGCATCTCTGAAATAGGTATACAGATCAAATCACTCCCAAGTTAAAAAATGTTAACTTTCTATTGAATGATATATGTAAGTTTTCTAAAAGTCCGACCACAATAAAGGAAAAATCAGAGAATAACAGCAGAAAGTGGAGCTTACGAACAACTCGTATAAACAGAAAAGCACGCAAACAGCGTAGCATCAGTAACCTCTGGACTAAGATCGCCAACAAAAACATTAAAATGACCTGTGTGCCAGAAATTTGACACAAAAAAAGGAAGAAAAATCATGATGCTATTCAAAAATGTAGAGAGAAGTTAAAATAAACAAGTAAAGTTCCATTTGCCAATGAACCTGATGTATCCTCTCTTTGATTACTTGCATATGCCCAATTAACTTTAATAGGCTGGCCGTACCTGTAAAACAACAAATTGAGACCTAGAACAAGGAAAAAGCGAGGAAAAAAGGTCAACTCAAATTCAGTTAAGGCTTGTGCTTACAGATGCCTGCCATTTAGAGTTACTATAGCAAGGGCAGCTGATCTACGATCGAAGTAGTCAACAAAACCATAAGATGACTGCAAAAATAAGAAATACACTCAACACATCAAAAGCAAATTTATAAGCCTTTTTTTAAAAGCACCTCTAAAGAGGTTCATACATAAACACTGCAATTAGAGCAGTCAACGAAAAATCCAAAAATAGACTTCTTCCAGACTTTCTCCTCAAATTCAAACATAATTATTCCCGTCATTATATGACCAACCAGAAATGAAAGCATAAATGACAGGAAGATTACCTTCTCTTTCCTGATAAGTTTGCATCCTTCAAGGGGACCAGCATTTGAGAACACTTGCTGAAGATCAGTTTCAGTAACCTGGGAGTGAATGTTACCAACGTACCTGCATTTGTCATGAATTTAGAGCCAAACCTTACAAGACATGACATGCAACCATGGCTAGCGAACACGAGAAATCTAAGTTGCGGGAAATTTGAAAATAATAATAAAAATAATAATAGCCGTGTCAAAATACATGTAAGTGTTTTTCCATCTATTAGAACTAAATTTTCTAGGAAAAGATGACCCAAGAAACACCCAGTTCGGAAGCATCCTAGAAGAAGAATTGAAACAGTAAAAGTTAAGAAGACAATGACGTAATAAAAAGAAAAAAAAATCTATAACACTCACACACTGCGGCATGTACTTGAATCAAACCCTGGAGGCAGATTTCCACTCAAGATAGGCTCTATCTGCAAAAATGAAAAAGTAAAAAAAAAAAAAAAAAAAAAAAAAAAAAAAAAAAAAAAAAAGAAAGAAAGAAAAAGAGGAGAAAATACCCTAAATTCCTAACAAATACTTCCAGGGATACCATCGATCAAAACTGATAAACTAATAGTAATTACCCAAAAATCATCCAACCCAAGAAAAAAAAAACAAAAAACAAAAAAGCATCATTCGTCAATCAAAAGTGATGTTGGGAGATTTAAGCATAAGTAGTTGTTTCTTATATTTTCATACGTTGTTTAATTTATCTTAGCTTAGTTTTATTATTAGTATTTCGTTTATCTTAGTTGTTATTTTGTTATCATTTTCCATGTGAGCTACAAATAGCCACATCACCTAATGTAAAGAGACTTGAATATTTTGATAATTTTAATAATTGAATATAAAGTTGAGTTTTTTTCTCCATTTTGGGGGTTTTCCCCTCGCGGGGTTTCTTTAGTGTCCCATCTTTTATCCATCTTTTACCCGGATTATGCCGGTAAAATTCTATCCTATCCATTCCACTGCATCCAAAGGGCATAGTTTTACGCTATATCCACTTGTGCAGGGATTATTCGCCTAATAGTACAATTGGGCTTACACAACACAGTAACATATGAAACCCAGAAATCACTTCGAATAAAAACGATCCCACTAATCGAATCACAAGCAAATATTTACCCTAAATTTCTGATCAACAAAAATCCAACCATAATTTCTTCTCTTTCCAGAACAAAAACAACAACAATCACAGATTACCGGTCAAAAATGAAGAAAAAAATCGAAGCAAAAAGAAAAAATTAGAAACAAATCAAATCAAATCAAATCATAGTAAATGGAGAAATGAAAAGTTGAAACCTGAGGAGCAGCCAAGAGAGCGGGATGGTGGTAGAGCGACTGATGCATCATCGCCTGATGTTTAAGCCTCTGCTGGTGCATCTTCAACGAATCCGAGTTCTAGGGTTACAGTTTTCGACAACGAAAAGAAGAAGACGAAGAAGAAAAGGGGAAAAAACGAAAAGGAAAAATCAACTGCAGAAATTGAGAAACAGAAGAACAAGAAAAAGAAAAAGGAAAAAAAAAAAGAAAAAAGAAAAAAAAAGGAAAAAAAAAGAAAAGAAAACCTCTCCGAAGAGAGAGGACGAGATAAGAACGAAGAGCAACAGAAGAAGATGTGTGTTTTAAGAAACGGAGTAAAATGCTCCTGCTTTCGGTTTTTATATGAAAACGACGCTAATAAACTCGATTTTCGTGAAATAAAAAAAAACCACGCGCTGCTGCGTGCGCGTTGTGTTCTGTGGGGTGGAAAAAAAAGGAGGTCCCTAAGCATTATGCATTGGGTAAATAAAAAATTTATTTTGCTCATTTTCAATCAAAAATAGGAAAATTTAAAAAAAATCATTTGCTTCCCCGAATTATTTGAGTGGGTGACGATTTAGTCCCCAAAATTTTTTTTCATTGAAAAAAACTGAAGTTTTAAAAATATTTCAAAAGGATTAGCAAATTGCCATCAAAAAATTACCAGAATATATTGTGTTGCACATAATTTACGTAACTAAGTAAATTCATATAATTACTTCTAGAAAATGAGTACACATGAATTCAAAAAAAAAAAAAAGAACAAAACAAATCTGCAAAACACAAAATTCAATTAATAATTTAAATTGTGCCGTTGTTGCTCAAACTATACATTTGTTTTATAGGTCATGTTTAAAATTGATCTCATTTTTATTTGTTATATTTTTTGAGAAATAAAAAATAAAAATATTTTTAAAACGGCGTTTGATGCAATAAAAATAAAAAACATAAATGAAAATGATTTTTTAATTTAGTGTAAAATAAGAGAAAAATAAAAAATGACTTTTAGTCATTTTTTATTTTTTTTTCGTTTTCTCCTTTCTCATGCACAGATATATATATATATATCAATGGGTTTTTTTATACTGAAAATAATCTCTAGATAAAACTACTAAACGCATTTTCAAAAATGATTTCTATCTGAGATTGAAAACGTTTTCATTTTCATTTTCATACAAAAAATAAAATTATTTTAGAACGAGTTACAAACGCGCCAATGATCAGATTTTCAATTTTAGTAAAATGCACATTAAACTTTAAAATTAGTAACAATTCAAGTCCGTATGCTAACAAATCTTATCAAATTGACGGTTGAACAAAAAAAAAATTGTTGATTTAAGGCACAAGATTCGCATGCACATAAAAGGAAAAGATCTTCATTTTTAAATATTTCATGTGCAAATCTCATGTCTCAAACTCGCCGTCAACTTTTGGACTTTAGTTGCAATTGATTTTATAGTTCATAGTGCTTTTTCTCAAAATTAAAAAGCTGGTTTATTATGCAAAAAGTGATAATTTGAGTTGTAACAGTACAATTTACTCACACAAAAAAAGTTTTTAAAAAAACCACATATTAGGATTTCAAAACATGAGCAAGGAAGATCTGATAGCGGAGTCGGGCTTAATATGAAAAGGCTTGCACGAATACAAATTTGGGCAACAGAGAAGGCTCTTGCGCGACGAGCTAGATTTTGTTATTAGAGTGAGTGCATTGGTTAACCCTCTAGATATTATACCTAACTTTAAACAAGCAATAACTCTACAATTTCGTCCAAAACATTTTGTGTTTCAAAGTTTGAAGAATGAATATGAAGATTATTATAGATCATTGGACGCAATAAGTACATTTTAAAATTTAAAATATTTATGCTTATTTTTATCAATAGATTCCGTAATTAAAACAACTAATTTGTAAAGAATCAGGAGATATGTGTTATTCTCCTAACTAAATGGATTATCATTAAAAGTTATTTCTCTAATTACTTTAGGACAATACTATCTGTCTTGATGTAAATTCATTACTTGTAAGGAGTGTGTTTATTTAAGGTTCATTTTTTTTTACAGTGCTGTTTTAAACAAATAAATGAAATTTTCTTATTAAAATACAGCGAGTGATATTGTTTTTAGTTTTTTTGTTTCTTTTAGTTATTATCAATCTTCTAAAAAAAATGCGGAAACAAACATTTCATGTTTTCGGTATTTTTTAAACAAAAATTTAAGGTTGTGGTTACTAGTCTAGATGAGGTCGTGTTAGGATGGGATTGGTGTTGGGACCAAAATATAAGCGTTACTTTGACAAGGTAAGATGGATAGGCATGTTTGATACTCTTATTTAATTGATAGGTTAGTGTAAACCTTGGGGCCGAATCGACACCAAGCCCAAGCCAACGAACTGAGATAGGTAATCAAGCTGATAAGCTGGATAGGCATTGAGGTTAAACAACAAGCCGATACTAGTGGTGGGGTCAAGGTAAAGGGTCAAGACATGTAAAGGGGACGAGCAATAGGCCGGGGCCACCATCATGGTCTGCTTGACAGTCCAAGACCGATGATGAAGTTGTGTTGGGATCACCATTAGGTTTGGCATGTCATCAGTGCCAAGCCAGGTCGAGACCACTGATACGTTGAGATAACTGTTGAGGTCAGGTTGACAAGCCAAACTAGTATTGGAATCGAGTTAACAATCACAGACCATTACTTAGGGTTAGGACGAGACAAGCACCTAAGTCAGGATCGACAGTTGGGTTAAGCACATACCTATTATAGGCCAAGGTATGTGGGGTTCATATCAAGGGTCAAGTCTAGGCAATGATCCCAACCTTGGCACTTGTCCTAGCTCACCCTACCAACTATCTCAACCTACCGACTTAACTTAAGCATTGATCCCGATCCATTCATTCTACCTCAGCACCAATCTTGACTAGTCGTCCCGGCACCTTTACCGTACCCCCACCATTGATCATAGTCCTTCAACTCAACTCGCTGGCTTACAACATTTTTTTAAAAAATAATAAAAAACCATAATTACCTAACATGTATTCGATTTTGAACAAACAAACTAAAAAGTAATTATCAAACATGTTTTTGAAAAAAAAAAAAAAAGAAAAGAAAATGATATTTTTTTGTTTAAAAAGATTAAAAAATTTACTACATGAGGCTTTAGAGAATGCATAAATTGAAAAATATAGAAAAATGCTCTCTAATGAAGAGCATAAAGAATTATGTTATTTATTAGAATATTAAAATATTTAAGTATCACCTTCTTCTTTTATATATTAATTAATAACTAAAGAGCAACAATATTTTAAGAGAATTAGGGGTGTTTAAAAAATCTGACAAACCGTGAAAACCGTCCAATTCAAATTAAACCGAACCAGATTGTTAATTATTTTTAGATTATCAGGCGATTTGATCATTTTTTAATCTAATTTTTTTGGGCGATTCAGTTTTTTATTTTAAACTCCCCAAACCGCCCAATAATCTACCAAAAAATATACATATATAATTTTTTATATTTATTTTAGTTTTTATTAGTCATTTTATACTTATAAAATACACCATATCATATTTTTATTGGTTTGTATTAAAACTTTAAATGATGAACTTTTAAACATTTACTATTTTTAAGTTACATTATAAACTTAAATCTTATTTTTATTTTTATGAATTAACGATTTTATAATTTTTATGAATTATTGAAAAAAAATTTTAGTCTTAAGTTCAAACCGTCTAAACAAGTAATTTAATTCAATTTAATTTTTTTAAAAATATCAGACCGACTAAAAAGAATTATTTTTGGTTTCGTTAATGATTTTTTTTAAAAAAAAAAAATTGTCCAAGGGAACAGAATGACAGAAAGAGGTGAGTTACGGGGACATTAAATTAGAAGATGAATTTGAGCTTCAAAGAAACAGATGGACCCCAAGTTTGGGCTCTTCATCAACGGGAGAGAAATTGATCCAAAGTTTGGGTTTGGAGAAATGCTCACAAGTTAGTACTAGCAGCACGATCACCTATATGATAAATTGATCAGGATTTTTACATTTTATTATTAATTCATAATCTTTTTAATCAAATAATTATACTAATAAAATAGTATCTATCAAAGATAATAAATAAAAATTTAAAAAGATAAAGATCTAAACTTATACGAGTAAATTCTCCTTTTGTTACTTTTTTTTTCTCTTTTTTTTTTTAAATATTCCGGGCCAACATGGCGAACGGGGCGGAGAAATGGACCCAAAGTTTGGGTTCTCAATTGCGGGTGGAACATTGTTGGGTTCACATGTACAGCCCATTTTATTCAGAAAGGCTTCGTCGAAAGGCCCACCCAAATTTGGTAAAAATTTAAGTAATTTTGACAAATTCCTTTAAAATAATACCGGATTTTTGAGTTTCAATATTATTGAATTTTATCCATTTGAAGTAAATAATTTGACAGATTACTATTAATAATTTGACACATGTTGCTGGTGGCGGGTCTCCGGTCATTTTGTGGCGGGCATAATTTAACAGATTATTGTCTAAAATTTAACAAATTATTATAACAAATGTAGCTTATCACAAAAAAAAAAAAAAAAAAAAAAAAGTAGAATTTCAGAAGGATGTGTTTAAGAGCCAACTTTTGGAATTTAACAGATTGGGCCCCAACTGCTATCGGATGCAAATGTTTCACTTAGACTACTATTATTTGGAAAACTTGATACAGATTATACACACATGTATCAATAGATTTAATTGGGCCGTTTAGAAAATGGCGTTGTAATTTGCATACATAAATATATGTATACATTTTAAATGACTAGCACATCTTTCTCTTGTGTGTATGCTTTGAAAACTTTTTGATAAGGCCTATTAAATTGTCAGGATTTTTTTTTATACATAAAATAGTGGTGTTCTTTTATATATAAAATAAAATAAGGGTGACCGTGAATGTGACTAAAATCACAGTTTTATCATCCGTTAGCTTTTGTATCCTTCCCTCTTCACTTATAAGGACTTAAGCAGCAATTGTGATCCAAATAATAATAACTATAAAAAAAAAAAAAAAAACATGTCACGTCAATAATCAATTATATCCAACCCTTGAGAGTTGCCAAAAGTCAAACGAAATGGTTTCTGAAGCAAATTCCATCATATGTAATTAAAACCTAAATCAAGTTAGCAACCAAACGCAGGACCACCCACCCACTTATTAAGATGAAAATTGGGTGGCTTAAAGCCATGGACAAAAGACGACCCACTTAAAATGAATAAATAAATGAATACAAGTATAATATAGTTGTATACAAATACACACATATATAACTCATTTGGAGACAAGAAAAGTAAGCAAGCAAACACATGCGAACACCTACACAACCAAATTAGTAGAAAATAATAATAATAATAACCTTATCTATATGAACAGTCTTAAACAATCAAATTTTTATCAGACAATTTAAACGAAATACAATCAGGTCTTATTAATATATATACGCGAGATGATAAAAAATATTATTTATATTACTACTTTCGAAAATAAATAATTCTCATTCAATTAATAAAGAGAAGACTGATAATTAATAAATAAAAAAAATGATCACAATGACGATTAACTTAAATAATACGACTGAGAAACTATGTACTTTTCTCCAATTTTTTTTAATAATCTATCACAGAATTCTTCTTCTTATTATTTATTATAAAAAAAAAAACCAAGAATGGGTCAAAGCAAAAGGCCGACCCTACCACATTCAACATAGCATGTGATTATCAATTCATTAAATTTGAAATACTTATCCGCCACCGGTTGTTGTGCTTTTGATTTTTGATTTTTGATTTTTTTTTGTCAAAGTAAATTAAAATCTCGAGGTTTCGACGTGAAGAACGTGATTAAATAAATCTAATACTTTTCTCCTTCCAAAGTTTAGTGTAGTACAAAAAAACGCTCGAACCAGTACACCTAATTTCCACATTTTAATAAGTTGCTCTGAATGTGGACCTTTTAGAGGAAATGTCTGCCATTCCTAATATATATATATATATATATATAATATATTTAGTCTCTAGTCAATAGTGCACACTTTCTCTCTTTTGGAGCTTCCTTGAACAAAGCAACAACACATTTCTGAATTGAAAAAGGAAGAAAAGCCACATATGCATGTGCTTATAATGTGCAAGAAAAAACCAATTTTGTAATAAAAAAATCAATACGCGTGCCATGATATTACTAAATATTATGTATAGTATACTAACTAAAAAACGAAAAGGAATTGGCTCAATTATTAAAAGGAGAAAAAGAAAATAAAAATATAAGGCATTGGTGAGGCTTCGAGAATTGGTGGCATGAAGGCCTCGTCTAAATCTCGAAGGAAGTCGAGGTCAATTTTCGTCTAAATCTTTGATAAATGTTTCTTTGAAGACTTTGGGAGAAAATTAATTAAAAGAGCAAAGTTATGGTGATAATCACTTAAACACGTCAAAAATGGTGGGAGTGGTTGTAGTGGTGGGCTATTATCTAGGATATTCCCGTGTGAAAAAAAAAAAAAAAAAAAAAGCCTTTTTTCTAGGAATTCCCCGGGGAAAAAAAAAAAAAAAAAAAAAAAACTTTATACTTTTATTGTACAAGTCAAAACAACTTTTTTTTCCTCTAACAAAATAAATTTATCGGGTCTTCAAAAATAAACTATTAAAAAGTCTATATTTTCAAAAACTCTGTTTTATATAATTTTAACTAAATTTAACAATAAAAAATAGACCTGTCAGAGAAATTTTTTAAAGAAAAAAGTTAAAAAAGAAAATCAAATTTTCTTCCAACTTCTTTAATTTCAAATTCCTCAGTAAGAAGGTACATTGAGTACTGGGCACTCACAAGTTGTACTAAGGCACTCAATAGTATTTTTCTTTCCTTAACAAAAGTACGACAGAGGAGAGAGAGAGCAGGAAAAAAAAAAAAAAAAAAAGTAAAAGAAAAGGGTAAACGTGAACATCTTGTTGCAAAGAAAGCAAATAATACACACGAGAGATTTGATTGTTGAACAGAAATTTAAGCCTGTCGTTCTTTTCTCCAGTCAGAATACTGAATACATTCACTCTTTAAGAATCAATAGTTATATAATAAATTAATGCATTCAAAGCTAACCAATAACTAAATACTTTTGATTATAATTTAATTACAGACTCTAAAGATTAATCAAGAGTTAGATCTAAGGGCAGGCTCGAGTGAGCAAGCCTAAAAAGCAAAGAAGAAACAGCGCTGAGAAAAAAAAGCAGGCCTAAACCCAGCAAAATCAGAAAAATAAAAGGCTTATGAACTATGAAAGCCTAATAACTTGATATAATTTGGAATATCAAACTACTGTGTAGATTGAGCAGCCAATCCTAGCCACGACTTGCCTTCCGATGGCTTTGTTGGGGCTACTTCTGGGCTGCCGGTTTGGTATGGCGCTTTGGCGCTGATCCTGAAAAATACAAGGAAATAATTAGTCTTATGAACCGAAAAGAAAAATTGAAGTTGCCCGTAAAAGAATTTGAAATAGCAGTAAGAACATGCTCTATGTGTATCTGTATCAAGTCCTACCTGTCCTTTCTCTTCTCCAAGAACCGATGAAGTGAAGCTTTCCTAGCAATTGGAAGATCTGCAATAGAAAAAGAAAACAATCAATTAGACATATGTTATTAGTTGCACTTTGTTAATACGAACAACAATTTAACCAGTCACAAGAAGTTTACCGCAAACAATGGGTCTGGAGGGTGGTTGAATGGGCTCCTGAATCACTTTGTTGCCGAAATTAGGAACACTGGGGCTTTGAGGAACTGAATTGCTGGATTCGATTGGGCTCTTAGCGACATGGGTTGGGAAGGCGTTGGCCGCCTGGTTGGAGACATAAGCAGCGGCAGTCTGGCTGCGAGAGCTTTCCTGGCTTGCCAAGAGCATGACTTCCTTTGCCTTCTCTGCTGGAAAGTCATTGAGGACAATAACTTGTCCGCCATAAAAGATAGTCATCTGTGCCCTTTCTGGCTCTCCTCCTGGGACACGCTTGTTCAGACTGTTACATGTTGAACCAATATTAATCAGCATATAATAAACATTTCACTTCAAAAACAGTAAAAAGCTCTAAAAGCTATATAACTTCCTAGTTCTGGATGCAATAAATTCATGGCACATAAGACAAGATCTAAGCATTAATTGCTATATACATCAGCAACCCAACAAACTAAAGGAGTACCTATAATCAGCCATCTTGGGAACTTCAGGTTCTGGAACAGAGGAAATGAAACCAGATTGCTGAGGAAACAAGCTCATAAATTTGAGGTCTCTAGGAGTTGCCATGTTCCTTGATTTTTCCACAACCGGGAACAAATCCATTGTTGTCCCTGTCTGACGGTACATTTCAGAAGTCCCTGTGAAAAAAAAAAAAAAAAAACAGAAAAAAATGAATCAGATCCACAACTTGGGACTAAAAAATCATACCAAAATTAACTCATACGTGGTTTATGAGCAATTCTTAATGCAATTTCAGCGATTCTTAGCCACATAATGAAATCTAGGATGATTTATTGCAGACAACAACCAAAAATATGTTTCTAAATTTCCACATATGAAAACTAAGAATTTTTTAACACAGCACCAAAAAAAGGAAAAAAGAAATGGGCAAAATTGTATATGAATTTTCTGATTTAACTACTCTGATAACCAGAAACTCCCAAATCTATACCAGCTTATTTATACTACAAACACGAATCTCAATAATATCCTTTTAACCATATACTAAAACAAGCAAAATTCATAAGATTCAAACCTAAAAGTTAGATAGTCACTCTAGTAAATTTCTCAACAAAATTCATCTTCAAACAAACGAACAAACGAAAACAAAATTAAAGAAGACAACAGAAGAAAGAAGAAACAAAAAGCTTTACCGTTGGGCTCAACAGTGCATGTCATCCCGAGGGTGAGATCTCCGAAGCTGCCTCTCTCTTTCAGGTACTGGCTCAGCATGCTGCACTTCTGAGAGAAGCTCGGCTTCTCCGAGAACCTCCCCAATTTCTGACCGGAAACCTCCACACTTTCCGACAACGCCGACATATCTCCGATCAATTCAACACAAAATATATATATATATATATATATAAAACACGAAACGAATCCGAAATCGAATCGCGGAAAAGCAAACTTCGAATCGAGAAGAAGAAGAACAACAACAACAAAAAAGGTTATCGATCTTCGTGCTCTGATGAAGAAAACTCAATCAACTCTGCATCTGTATTCTCTACACCTCCATTTTCAACCCTTCTTGTCTGTGTATATGTATATATCTAATCTCTCTCTCTCTCTCTCTGAGTATTTTTTTTAAAATAATTTTTTTAATGTTGAGGACTCGAGTTAAAGCACGAGGAATATATGTGATTTTGTTAAGCCCGCGTTCCGTTCCGTGCAGTTTCCCACGTCTATTAAAATAATATTATAATCTGTCCCTCGCTCTCTCTATTTGGTATTTCAAACACGTGTTCTATCTTTGCAATTTGCATTTCTTAACGGCGAGGAAACTTCTGTTAGTTTTCGAAATCGGTCCCCCGAGTTCGCTCTATTTGCGGAGTTCTCCCCGGGTCGTTTGCTTTGTATTCTACTGTTTCCAATGGACACGAGATTCAACACAAACTTTGTTGTGGAGATGGTTTTCTAGAACTTTTTTTTTTTTAAATTTATGGATCAGGTTATTACAAAATTAGTTTAATAGTTAAAATAACATTATCTAGTGAAAAATTTCCTTTAAAATATATATGAAAATTATATGATAGGATAAGAAAAAACATCCTATCAAAATATAATTTTTACCATAAAATCATATTAGAATAACTTTAGAAGAAATTTATTCTATCTTTTTACAACTTAAGTCATAATTTAAATTTTTTATGCGAGATAAAACACTGAAATAAATAAATTAAATTTAAATTTTTGTTAAAACAACACCTTAACAAAAAATTTGAGTTGTGATTTAAATTATAAAAAGAATAACGCCTTTAATTAAAGTGTACTATTATATAATCCTCTAATGCATACGTGTGTACCTTATTCGCCATTTTTTCTTTTAGCTTTTTGTATAAATATGTACTTTTGCTAATGCATATAATTCATTTTCATGATACGAATTCGAGGGTTGAGATCTCAAAACAAAACAAAAAAGGATGGTGGTGATATTAGAACATTTTATTGATTTCGTAGCCCTAACACTGAACTAACGATGTCAAATGCTTTCAATCTCATATGAAGTACTGACCAATAGCAAGTTGTTGAAATGGTCATACTTCAGCCACAAAAAAAAAAAAAAAAAATAATAGGCCGAAAAAGTTGAAACGGTCATAATAACTGTTTGCATGGTTTGATATTTTATAGATTGACCTAAGAAAAAGTTAACCATAAGTTGTATAGATGATTACTATTAATACTTAATAGCATCATTACCCACTTCACTTGACTTGAGATACTGCCCTTTTTTTTCTTTTATTCTCTCTTTTATTGTTAAGGATAAATGAAGTTACGTAGACGTTTGGTTCATAGATTATAATCATGAGATTAAAATTATTTTTAATTTACGTGTATTTTTTATGAGAGAAAACACTGTAACGAATCACAAATCATGATTCAAATCGGGGTACGAATCCCCCAACAAACAATTAAATTTATTCATTGGCATTGTTCTATTCAAAGGTTAGAACCCAACCACAAATTAATGCATAATAAATTGATTTTTTTATCATAATTAAATCATAAAATGTACTTCAAAATAAATAAAATTTTTGACGTTTAAAATTGATTTTTTAAGTTAAATAATATGATTGGTTGCAAATCATATGATAAATAGATAAGGAATGATCCACAATATAGATTTTCTTCACGGCGTAAATGCATTAATTCCATTCATCAAAACCTTTTCTAAGTAATGTGGTTTTCTCTTTGTAGTGCTGTACATAAATCTAAACAACTTGCAAATTTAATCCATTCCACCCTAACCCAATTAAAAAAAAAAACAATCCGCAACATTATTTTTTTAATTTCAAATGTGTATTGTAATGTTTGGCACGGAAAGAGTTATTGATTTTTGTGTGCACTCCACATTTCTCTTTAATGTTTTGGCATGGTACCATCATCTCAATCAATTACCTGAAATTTATCCTTAAAAATTCAAATCTAAAGAAAGTGAACGAAATACTAAGCCAAAAGAGGAAAATAACAAACCATTGAAATGGAAATAACTGTATGGGTGGAACACGCCCTATCCCCACCCCACTTGCCAAACTGAACAAACATGGATGGGCAAATAAGTAATTTTGTCAAAAGGCCAAAACATTAGACGGCGTTAGTTGACGGTTTGGTTTCGTGCCGACCTGCGGGTAAGCAGTGCGACCGGCGCCCCACATACTCTCCCTCTCCTTCTCTTTCATCTTTTTTTTTTAAAAAAATTTATTATTTTTAGATTTTTTATTTTTGATAAAAAAAAAGTAAAGCGGCAAATGCACGTTCTTTCAACCAATAGAATTTCAACACGTGGGCTTGGTCGCAAGTGGCAAAGCCTCGTAGGGGAGGTTAACCGTTTCCCATTCCCCACAGAGAGGCAAGTTGGAAAACGAAGGGAAAAAAGAATCTGATGTTTTTCCCTTCACGTATTAATGTTGTGCCACATTTATGTCAATTTGTTACATCAATTAGCAAGTTTGAGGTATTCATTTTTCTCTTTTTTTTTTTTTTTTTTTTTTTTTTCTTTTTTTTTAACCCCAAAAATTTTTTTTTTTTTTTTTTTTTTTTTTCCATTTTTGTAACCCCAACAAACTCGCACAACAAAAAGGCACGTTAGGACTTCCCATGTTTTAATTAAGAATTTTTTTATAAGATATTTTATTGGCAGAAAAGTGCTATCTTTTTTTGTTTTTTTTGTTTGTTTTGAAAATAACGTATTGATACCTATTTTTAACTCCATATTATTATAAATAAATAAAAAAACACGTAGCTTCTGCTTCAACGTTGAATTATTAATATAAATATCCATATCTAATTATCATGAGGTATAGAGTTTAACATAAAAAAAATCCATTTTAATTTTTTTTAAAAATAAATCTTATTTCATACATTTCTCGCCAACTCAAATTAAAAAAAAACTATTTTATGAATTTCTCCAATAAAGAAAATAATAACGAATACGAGAGGGGTTAGAACATCTCCAATGTAATACTATAATTGACGTGCTATTTATAAATTTAACATTTGAGTGTAAAAAATACTCTCCAATGTAATGTTATTTAGTGTGCCAAATTTTCTATATGTTATACTTTGTGGTAAATTTCTTACCAAGTATAGCATATAAGAAATTTAATATTTAATTACTATTAGTTGAAATATTTATTTTTTCCATGTAATCAATGCAACTTTTATATTTTTTAATTATTTTAAAAATAAAAATTAACTTTTACATCTTTTAAAGCTTAATAATTATAAAATAAAAAGTAAATTTAATATTTCAAATAGCATTATGTATTTAAACAAAAATGAAAATAACATATCATAATTTTTATACTAAATATATAATTAGTATTAATATTTATATGGTTGATGGTCTTAGTTAATAATATGTGGAAAAGAATGCATTTTGGTGACGAAATCAACCTAAGAGATTCATTAGCAAAAAAGCACTAACCTAGGGATAAATATGAGATTTGGAAGATTTTTCACAATTTATGATTTTTTGTTCCTTTTATAAAAAAAAAAAAGGAAAAAAGAAAAGCTGAGATTAGATAGATTAATTCCAAAAAAAAAAAGATTATAGACAGATTAGAGGACAGGTTTCAAATCCGCGTGGGAAACGCGGAAAGAAAAGAAAAGGAGAGAGAAAGAGATAGAGCGTGAGAGAGAATGGTTGGCGTAGTGCACAAGTGGACATGCACAACACACCGCCTGTGAAGACACGTGGCGGAATCAGAGGGGATAGATGGGACTGGGAGGGAGGGAGAGCATTTTCCTCGTGATGGTAACGTGGAGGGGCCCGCCGTTCCCACGGATTAATAATAAACAAAAGAAGAAAAGTGGAGTAGGTGGGTCCCGCATGTGTGTGAGTGCCAAATGTGGTTTGAATTTTTTGGGAATCTCCCAAAAAAAAATTAAAAATCTATGTGCTGTTTTGCGAAATGACTTTGGCGAGGAGCTCACGGGTGACTCACCGACGTATTCTCTTTATTTACTTTTGTTTGCGCCACGTGATCTGCGTGTCTATAAGTCTAAGGTTACGTTTGTTTTGTTTGTAAAAAGTAAAAAATGATTCTTAAAAATGAGGGTTTGGATTTTCAAAACCAAATGCAAAACTATCTTAAGGATTCGTTTAATTTGTTAATTTAAGTTTTTAATTTGAGTTGAGATGTAAAAAATTTTTTATTGTAGTAAAAAAGTTAAATGTGACTATTTTAGAGAATTTTTTACTATAACAAAACTCAAATTTTAAACTCAAATCAGTAAAATAAATAATACTTAAAAAAACCTTCAAAACCACTATAAGTTTAAACCCTTATACCAAACGCAATCTAAAATCTCCCTAATTGTTACACCTTACACATAAACCCTTTCCTTTTTCAGAATTTACAAAACTTGCCCCTAGCCAACAGTATTTTCTATTTCGCCGGTGGTTTCAGGTTTGTGAAATTTTTATATTTAAAATAGTATTTAATTAATCATATTAAATCATGTCATTTAAAAATTAAAAAATACTATTCAATTTGTTTTATTAAATTTTATGACAAAATGTGATTAATTAGATACCATTTAAAACATTAAAAATTAGATAAAAATTTTAAAAACGTATATGTATAATATTTATATAGACTTGGTCTGCACTGCAGTTCAACGCTTGCTTTGGAGACGTTACCTACTGGAGCGTTAGATTCTCTAAATTTTAAGGAATAACATGACACGCTTTGCGTTGAGGGGAGTAAATCTCAATGGTTGTCGGATGTAGAATTGATACTCAATAAATGAGTGTCGGATGGGCAATCGATATTAAAAATGGGTTCAAGTACGTAATTATAAATTTGCTCACTTAGGAAATGAATAAACATAATAAAAAGCACTTTATGCCT